CAAATCGTTATGGATAGTTTCAAAAGTCTCTTGCTTGATTTTGCAAATCGAGAGTATTTTTGTCAGGAAATGCTGCTTTGTACTTTGAAAATAAATCTTGGTATAATTTATTTTTATCCATTGTAGAGGCTGAAAAAGGTACATTGTCAAGTTTATAAATATATATTTTTTGAATTTTTAGTAAAATAATAAATTAATAAAATACTTACAATAATATAACCTGCAAAATACTAGTCAAATGAAAACAGGAACGTTCGTGGTGTATTACCTGGACATGTACTGCATTTGTGTAACATGAGTCATTCATATGGCTTTATGCCATCCATAAACTTTTTGCAACCGATAAATTGTAACATGAATTACTAATCACTCAATCAATTCATCGAAACCAATGAAAATCAATTTGTCAGCTGTTGTTGTTGATGTACATACATAAATGTAGATTTAATATGGCTATGTTAAACTTCGAAAAGAAATAGAGATGGCAGCAATGCCAAAATATATATTTTTTTTTTTTTTTAAACGTGGCTTGTATTGCTTAAATCTTTTCTTCCTGAGCTTAACAAGAGGTGTATCAAATCTTATATTTTTAACTTAACTTACAGTCATATTGACTGATACAGAGTTAGACGGCCCTAAAAATCGATTGCTGAGTTGGGAGGTCGTTGCGTCTTAGGCGGGATACGCTAGAAGCCCTAGTCGATCCCCGAGCGAGAAAATTTGGGTACAAATGATAGTTCTTAAGATTTTTGATTGTGCGCGGTGTATGATGTCTATGTTGCTGCTGCTCGGGTTCCCCCACAGCTGTGCGCCATACATCTAGAATGGCTTTAGGACTGAGTTGTACAGTAGTAACTTGTAGACCAGGCACATTGGCTATCGTGAGTTTATGATCCAGTGGAGGCTGCTGGCTTTCAGGTTTAGGTGCATCTTCTTGCATTCGATGTGCTTACGCCAGGTAAGTCGTCTATCAAGGTGGACGCCAAGGTACGTTACGTCGTTAGCTTGAGGGATCTGCATACCGTTAAGTAAAAGCGGAGGGCATGTTTGTCTATTAAGAGTAAACGTTATATTTTTACACTCTTGTTCGTTTATTTTAATAAGCCAGTCGGACAGTCACCTTTCCACTATTATAAGATGATTATCCAGTTGGGTTGTTGCCTGCGTTAGGAATCTGGAGCGACTAAGGATAGAGGTATCGGCGGCGAACGTTGACGTTATTAGTTGTGCGCTCGTAGGAATATACGCAGTATACAAAACATATAGACACGGGCCGAGTGCGCTTCCTTTTTGTTTTACCGGTCTTTCAGAATTTGGAAATGGCTTGTGCATCAATAAGAGCATCAGCTAGCATTCCTGTATTCATCATAAAGCTTAGAGGCCCAGACGACCGAGGGGCGCTCAAGAAACGATTTGTTAGTAAATATTAAGCTATTTCTCAATTATTAAGCTAGGAGGAGTTAGTAAGAAAATTTAAAATTCTATATTTTAAATTTGAGGGACAGGAAAGAGATGTTATAGAGTAGAGACCATTGTAGTTCGAACATAATACCCTAAAAGGATCATGCAGTGCATATGTCGAACTACAACGGCTAAGGAACAGAGGACTAAAGTTTCGAGTCCTTCTATTAGGAATGTTAAATTTTAAGCGTTTTAGTAAATGCTGGCTAACTACATACGTAGATACGTAGAATACGTAGCTTGCAGAGGGCAAGAACGATAAAAAGACATATGCTTGCATTTTGATCCATTAAGTATTAGATCATTAGCTAAACACCATTCTTGAAAGTTATCAAGGTCAGACTGAAGACTGCATTGGGCAGAGATGTTTATGTACTGAAGACAAAGCTTTACATCATCTGCATACATGAGTACTAGAGAGTTCGTTATAGCAGGGGCCAAGTCATTTATAAAAAGCGTGAATAATAGCGGGCCAAGATGACTTCCTTGAGGGACGCCAGATGTAGCACGGACCAGACGGGACTGTATGTTTTTAAATAAGACTCATTGTGTCCTTCCATCTAGGTAGCTGGAGATCCACGTTAAGAGGTCTATAGGAAAACCCAGCATATTCAGTTTACTCAACAAGAGTGAGTGATTTTCAACAAGAGAAATTCTTACGAATTTTTCTCAGTTCTAGCCCTTGGGGTGGCCAGAGATATAAGCGGCTGCATTAATGTCGGCTGAGCAGGCTGAGGCAGATCGGAAACAGCGGATTTCTTACGGATGGCAGGCTGGGATGAGGAAATTGTCTTGTTACAAGACTTAATAGCACAGACAAGTTTAAATTCCATATTTTTTAATAAATAAAAAAAATTTATGTATAAAAAGTTAAAAAACACTATACCGTGAACCACTGTACCAAATAGGAAGCCGAAGCGGGAGCTTTGGAGAGTGCAAAGAAGAAATGCAGAAATACAGATAAGACGAGGAAGAAGCAGAGCTGAGCTATGCTTGGAATATAATTTAGACAAATTATTAATTCAACTCCAAATATACCACAGCACTCGCGAAGCGATACGGTTTAGGCTTTAAGATTCTTAAGATTCACAAGATTTAATTCACAAGTATGTAAACACCGGTTTGCCACTATTTATCATAAACGCAGTGCGCACAAAAATCACGACCGTTCGCTTAAGAGAAAGAGAGGGAAGTGATTAATTAATCAATATAAACATTAGCGATCTCATCGCTGAAAGCATTTTTTCTCGTTGTTGTTGATTTACGAAACCAGTCGCTGCACTTTTTTGATATTGTTGAATACTTTTTTTTTCCCGGAGCACAATACATACACGTCTGCATGCGACGCCGATTCGCGATCGAACTTGCAAAGCATAAAAGCATTAATGCCTGCTTGTAAGACTCTCCCAGGACATCGAAGCTGCATTTAGCTGCAAGACTGACAGAATAATTCCCGAGCAAAAGTTTAAGAGAAATGAGCCGCGCAATCAAGCTCTTTCTTTGATGCCTTTCAGGCCTCGATCGACACAATTTTCGACTTCCCAGAATTGATGCAGAAGCACGTCGAGCCGCTCATTCATCGTATCCTGGGCTTGACTTTATTGTGAAGCCTCCGTAGCTATAAGACCTCCGCTAAAAGTAGCCCCTTATGTGCGGCTAAAGATGGTGCAAAATCCAGCAATAATAAAGCACGCATATGAGAATTGAACTTGACGGATAGTTATCTTAACCTTGCAAGCTAAAATCTCATTTACATGAACCTGAAGAATGAATCGGCGATTGTTAAGCCTTTTATTTAACAAAATTCCAATTACGTCAATTCCAGTGACCGAACAGTTCGAGGGCGAAATGCTGCAAACAAGATCTCAGGCGCTGCAGCTTTTCTGCTGATGAAAGTACGATTGGAACACCAGCCACTTAGAATAACCTCCGCTAAGTTGGCGGGGAACAAGTTGAAGCGCTGAATCACCTCCTGGTCAATGGTGAACCTAGCCTCCCTCGCTAAGTCATTAAATTTATAGCGCAGCTGGCTTGTTTCCAACTTACCCTGTCACACATTTAGTATAGCCTCGGAAAGCCCCTCAACAAATTTTAAGGAAGCCTGCAAGCCCACCAGATCTTTAAAAAGTACATACGCATTCTGGCTCAAAAACCTGTAGCCTTCCAGAAGAAGCTTAGTCCACAGTTTACAAGAAAGGGTTATTCATGTTTATACCCTAGCAGAGGGTGCAACGCATTGAAGGAGACATCTCCGTAGAGCTGGAAAACAATCGATGTCTGGGACCATCGATGTTTTCGATGTTTTTGAAAGTAAACATCGATGAAACATCGATGTTTTCAGTTAAAACACAAAAATAACAATTAACAAGTTTTTATTTTTTGAGATCACTATTCTTGTTTAGGAACAACAGTTTATCGACTATGTTTGGTTTCAGAGCGCATCTCCTGTCGGACACGATCTATCCAGCTTTGCTGAATGCTCGTTCTGAAGCGCAAGAAGATGATGGCACGCATAACACCTTTTTAGCCAGCATTGCTAAGGCCGTGGTATCCTTTGTATGCTCCTAAAATAAAGAGAAAATATTTTTTACACCCATGCTACATATATTTAATTTTTTATTACCTTCCAATATTCAAGTGGATTTGCTTCTTCTGCTTCATGCGATACTTCAAAATATTGGCGGAGAATTATAATAGCGTGAGCTTTGTTAGATTTCACCTTGCCTTCCAGTTTCTTGCTCATAAACGAGAAGCGTTTTTGTTGTGGTGGTGCTGGCTGTGGACAGTTTTTGATAAGTATGTAGACACTTCCAGCTCCAAGGTTTTTGCTGCCTGCTCAGCATTTGATGGCTGCAGGAATCCATCCTTTTTGAACCGTGGGTCCAACAAGCCTTGTTGCTGTTCGCGTCTCATACGGTGAAAACCGTTCTGGCATTCGGACCTTGAGATAATCCACTACTTGTTTCGCCTCTGGAGATATGAACGATCCCATTTCCGACACTTTTTGGCGCAACTCGCAGCATGTTGGGATATTAAGTGATATAGTCACTTTCGTATCTCCAGAAATGGATACCGTTGCATCCTGAAATGCATTCAGTATCTCAACCAATTTAGGAGAGTGATTTCGTCTGCGGTAAACGGCGGTAGTGACTTTGGAGTTTTTAAAAGAACCTTTGAGATGGATTCGTTTGTCTCCAGGATACGCTGAATCATGAAAAGCGCACTATTCCAGCTGATAGTATCAGCAATGTTAATAGCTGAATGGTTTGTAGGGGAAGCTAGTTGATTTGTTGACAAAATTTTTGATGCAAGCTCAAAAGATGTGGTTACATAATGACAGGTAATTGTTAAATATGATTCATTTGCTCTTGATGTCCAGCCATCTATTGTCAATGCGACGCTTTCTATATGCTCTAAATCTGGTTTTAAAGTATCTTTTAAATTGTTGTATTCATTTTTTAACAGTACGTTTCGCAAGTGAGTCTTACTAGGCATTTTGTAACGTGGATCAAGCTCATGAATCAACCGGCGTCTTTGTCGGTAACTATGCAAAAGAATTTCCCTAGTAAGCCCCATTCAGCTACAACATTACTGATAGTATCAGCAATGTTAATAGCTGAATGGTTTGTAGGGGAAGCTAGTTGATTTGTTGACAAAATTTTTGATGCAAGCTCAAAAGATGTGGTTACATAATGACAGGTAATTGTTAAATATGATTCATTTGCTCTTGATGTCCAGCCATCTATTGTCAATGCGACGCTTTCTATATGCTCTAAATCTGGTTTTAAAGTATCTTTTAAATTGTTGTATTCATTTTTTAACAGTACGTTTCGCAAGTGAGTCTTACTAGGCATTTTGTAACGTGGATCAAGCTCATGAATCAACCTTTTTAACCTTACATTATTAACCACATTTAATGGCAAGACATCGGACGCGACCATATTTAATACAAGCTTGTCAATACGTTTTTTTTTCTGACTTATTTAAGTAAAGGGTGTCACGCTCTAGGAACTTTGTCAAACTTTTTTCCTTTTCTAGAGGTTGCTCTTTTAGTAGCGCAGGATGAATACGCTTCAGGGTATCCATGGGGTTAGTGGTATTTCCACCAGTTTTGTACTGCTTACCGCACTGGTTGCAAATCGCCGTATTGCTATCTTTGCATTTTTTAAATACCTGCCAAACCATCGATGTTTCTCTTTTGCGCTTTGTTGCATGCTGTCCATCGTCGTCATTTTCTTTATTGCTAGTTGATGTTACTAAAATAATAAAAATAAAAACAGCATGCAATGAGTATATGCATAAATACCGGCCTTTTCAATGCGTTTGCATACCAATACATACGCATGAATACATTTTCACTTGTATGCAAAGAGTAATTTTGAAACAATACTTACTTTTCACAAACTTGTCCATTTTGTAGCACCACGCCTACAACGAACACCACCACTTGCTTGCGAGGTATTCAAATTTTCACTACATGTGATTAAATATTTAATATAATTAAAATAATGCACCACAAAACCCACTTTACTTACACGTTGTCCTCAATGCACAGAATTAATGAATGAATAGTGGCCAACGAACCATCGATGTTGAGAAAATTTCAAAAACATCGATGGTATCGATAGTTCCATCGATTGTTTTCCAGCTCTACATCTCCGACCCTATAAAGTATATATATTCTTGATCAGAATCATCTCCTGGGTTGATATGAGCATGACCGTCTGTCTGTTTCTACGCGAACTAGTCTCTCAGTTTTAAAGCTATCGTCTTGAAACTTTGGACACACCCTTCTTTCCTTTGCACGCAGTATATAAGTCGGAACAGCCGGATCGGCCGACTAAATCATACAGCTGCCATATAACAGATTGCTCGCAAAGTTATAACACGACACGAGAGCTATTTTTGGCATTAAAACATTACGACATTTTGGCATTAAAACATTACGACGTGCCAAATTTCATAGGGATCGGCCGACTATATCTTATAGCTGCCATATAACTGAACGATGACCCAATTAAAATGACCCAATTTTCGTTTTTTTGAAGATAGAAAACTGAAACTTAGTACAGATTTTTTTTTTGGTCAGTTAATTTAAGCAAATTTCATTAGGATCGGCCGACTATATACTATAGCTGCCATATAACTAAACGATCGGAAATGGTATTTGATAGAAATATCAACTCTCGTATTTTTGAAGATAGAAGGTTGGGAGTTTTTTTTTAGATTTTTTATTTTAATTATTTGGTTTTATTATGATGTAATCATAAGGACCGGCCAACTATATCCGATGCTTGCGATATTTATCCGGCTTTAACTGCAAGGGTATATCAACTTCGGCTCCGCCCGAAGTTAGCTTTCCTTTCTTGTTTAATATTATTTTCGATTTATTTTATTTAAGGCGCGGCGACTTTTGACACTATATAAAGAGACTGGAACACTTTGTTGCAGTGTTTACATTATCCAAAGTCCCAGTCATAAACCCTAAGTGGCCGAAATATGAACCGATCGTTATGGCTTAGCCCGCACACAGAAAGTGCTAGAGTCAGCATAATCGTAACAAACGGTCAGCATATGCATACCCCTCGCGCCTCCACTTGAGAGCGCATAACAACGTATATTATTATATTCCTTTATACATAAGTACATAGCCGTCTCTCTGCCGCCGCCTGCGAGCAGCGCTGCTACGAGACTTAGCCTTACTTAGACTTAAAAACATTGTAAAAGAACAGAGACACTTTGATCGTTGGAGCGGCACCTCAGCTGCTCCTTCTAAATAAAAATCCAACTAAAACTAATCCCCTGGAGTTATCCTATGACATGGCGACCGTGACAGCGATGGAAGGACATCTAAGGATTAAAAGGATATACCAACAAGGATATACCCAGGAGGATACATATAGTCAAAAAAAAATGGATAAACTGGAAAATGCAAAATAAATCGACAAAAAAATGAAATCTGAGTGAGTAGAGTGAAAGCAATGGGCAATCGCGGAGGAGTTGCGAAAAAAATGAAAAAAAGAGTAGCACACCTAAAGTGGCTACTCTACGTAAACACTCCACCTCCCGCGTGGGCTACGGCCCAAAAACTTCAAACAGAACTAGATTTTCTGAAAGAAGAATTAATAAGCAACAAGAATAAAATCCCAAAAATTGCCACCACTCACTCAGTACCTATAAAGAAAATTAATGAAAAATAACAAAGCCTCCACCACCAAAGCCATTACGGAAACTAAAAAAGACGTGCCCGAAGGATTACCCTGGACCACTGGACAGCTCCCACTGCAACCACACCTGTGCGAGGACCAGCACCGGTAACGCCTGAGTCCAAAAGGCCCCGGGCAGCAGCAGCAGCAGCAGCAAACAGAGTGCGGAAATACGCCACCTCCTGCGCCACCGAGGGAACGTCAGCGTAGCCAAACCGGCGACGACCAGCTGACGTGGAAAAAAAAAAGGAAATCAACTGAGGAGAAACATTTTTTTTAACCCATGCACTGCGTTGCATAATTTTTTTGATTGCACTGCGATGCATATTTTTTTTATATAATATAATATTTTTTTGAAAAATTGAGCGGAACCTCTTTTGCACCATTTGAAAGTATGGCCCGTATAGCTGTACAAATAATAGGTAGGAAAAAATGTTAGATAAAAACTTATATTTAAAAAAAAATTTTTTTAACTTAAAGGAAAAAATAGCATAAATTCCTAAAATTTATTTAAAATTCTAATTCCTTTCTAATGAAAAAAAAAATTATAAATAAAAAATCCTAAAATTTATGAAACATTTTAATACCCTTTTAATGAGAAGTAATAGCATAAGTAAAACAGATCAAATAAATGATTCTGACTATTACTTCCCAGAAAAATTAAGTAAAAGTACAAAATATGTCTCAGAGAAAACGTACAAGTCTCTAACTCAGAATAAACCCATTCAAAAGAATACGGTTAGGAAGCACGTTGAAATATTAGTAGAGTGCTTTAATGAAGCGCGTATGCTAATACATGATCATAGGGAAAGATTAAATCAAGATCATTGGTCACAGGTATCGAAACTTTTGATACGACTACAATCTAATTTAATATTTATTAAACAAAAGTTCAGTTTAGAAATATCATTACCAACCGTTCTAAACACTCCAATAGCAGTTGACACTGCACCTGACTCGGAATCAACAGAAACGAAAGAATCTGAGTCAGAAGAGCTTCCCAAAGTAAACCCCAAAATGGAAGATTAAGATTTAAATAATCTTACTATTCCGGCGGTATACACTGATCTGGATAACTCTACAGATTCAGATACTTCGAGTGTCATAGAATACAAAATAGATAAATCCATCACAATGGCACAGTCAAATATTGATTTTATTAATACAGCATCTAAGCTTATACCAGTTTTTGATGGTAAGGCTGAAAATTTAACAAGTTTCATTGATGCTTTACAAATAATACAATCAATAAAAGGCGAGCACGAAGAATTAGCTATTTCCATTATTAAAACAAAGCTAAAAGGTGTCGCCAGGAATCTAATCGGTAATGAAACTACAATTACTGAGGTGATTTCCAGACTAAGAAGCAACGTCAAAGGCGAAACTGTTGAGGTATTATCAGCGAAGCTGATGAATCTACAGCAGCGCAATAAAACTGCTAACCAATACACACAAGAAATTGAGCAGATGACGAAAGCTTTAGAAGGTGCATATATATCAGATGGTTTATCTTTAGAGCTAGCCAGGAATTATTCCATGCAGCATGCAGTCAAAGCAATGACTAAAAACTGCACAATCGATAAGGTAAAACTTATCATGCAAGCTGGAACATTCAGTACGATGAACGAAGCCGTTTCCAAATTTGTTAATAGTTGCACTGAAGCAACTGGGCAGTCAAACACTGTCCTATATTATAAGAATTATCCACAGCGCAGATCAAATCGCGGACGTGGCAGTTATAGAGGTAGTTTTCGTGGTAATCACAATAACTACAACAACGGTAATTATAACAACAATTATCAGAATAACAATATTTATCAGAATAACAATAGAGGGCGAGGCCCATATAGAGGAAACTATAGAGGCAGTGGTAACTCAAACCGAGGCCACAATAGCAATAACCAAGGCAATGTAAGAATGACACAAAATAATAACCAAAACACATCGGAAAACTCCCAAAACCCTTTAAATATTCAACAATAAATGAAGTGAGAGTTCACACCATTAATCTCAGCCAAAATATATTCGTTTCATTTTTTAATGTAGCTACAGGGAAAGAACTTATATTTTTAATAGACACAGGTGCAGACATTTCCATTCTAAAAGAAACTTCGGATAATTTCCGAAACATCCAAAATGATTACATCATAGACATAAAAGGCATAAGTCAAGAAATAATAAAATCCAAAGGTTTAGTTTCTGTAGAGATACAGACCACCAACTACATAATTCCACACGATTTTTATATTCTAAATTCACATTTCCCAGTTCCATGCGATGGAATAATAGGCATCGACTTTATCAAAAAATAAAACTGTCAATTAGACTTCAAGCCATCTGAAGATTGGCTTATAATTAGACCCAATAATTTAAAATTCCCAATTAAAGTACCAATAGCTCATAGTTCTGGCAATAATTCAATACTTCTGCCAGCAAGATCCCAAGTTATTCGGAAAATTGAACTTAATTCAACAGCAGACAGTGTATTAATTCCAAATCAGGAAATTCAACATGGTATTTACGTTGCAAATACCACAGCAACATCCAATAATGCCTTCATAAGACTATTAAACACAACAAATACCGACCAAGTAGTGAGTACAGATAATCTAACATATGAATCACTTTCGAACTACGATGTAGTCAACACAAATCCAGACAATAGAAAAAAATCCGTACTATCACAACTATCAAAAAACTTCCCTCCTCAGTTCAAGTCTCAGCTTACTAGCCTATGCACCCAGTATAGCGATATATTCGGATTGGAAACCGAATCAATAACCACAAATAATTTTTACAAACAGAAACTGAGATTAAAAGATGATGAACCAGTTTATATAAAGAACTATCGAAGCCCACATAGTCAGGTGAATGAAATACAAAAACAAGTAGAAAAATTAATCTCAGACGGGATTGTCGAACCGTCAGTATCCGAATATAATAGCCCATTGTTACTTGTTCCTAAGAAATCATCCCCCGGATCAAATGCAAAGAAATGGCGATTAGTAATTGACTATCGCCAGATTAATAAAAAATTACTATCTGATAAATTCCCATTACCTAGAATTGATGATATTTTAGATCAACTAGGTCGAGCAAAATACTTTTCATGTCTTGACTTAATGTCAGGATTCCATCAAATTGAACTAGAAAAAGGTTCAAGAGATACAACGATTTTTTCAACGAGCAACGGCTCATATCGCTTCACGCGATTACCCTTCGGATTAAAAATAGCTCCTAATTTGTTTCAGAGAATGATGACTATTGCGTTCTCTGGTCTAGATCCTTCTCAAGCGTTTATTTATATGGATGACTTAATAGTAATCGGTTGTTCCGAAAAACATATGCTTAAAAACTTAACAGATGTTTTTGAGAAATGTAGGAAATTCAACCTAAAGCTACATCCAGAAAAATGTTCATTTTTTATGCATGAAGTGACTTTTCTAGGTCATAAATGCACTGATAAAGGAATACTTCCAGATGACAAGAAATACGATGTCATTATGAACTACCCAGTTCCGCACGACGCGGACAGTGCTAGACGTTTTGTAGCATTCTGTAACTATTATAGACGCTTTATAAAAAATTTCGCCGATTATTCACGGCACATAACAAGATTATGTAAAAAGAATGTTCCTTTTAAATGGACGGATGAGTGTGAAAATGCATTCCAATACTTAAAAACAAAGCTTATGGAACCTACCTTGCTACAATACCCAGATTTCACTAAAGAATTCTGCATAATAACAGATGCAGGTAAGCAAGCATGTGGAGCGGTTTTAACTCAAAATCATAATGGTCTCCAACTTCCCATTGCATACGCATCAAGAGCATTTACAAAAGGTGAAAGTAACAAATGTACTACTGAGCAGGAATTAGCTGCAATTCACTGGGCGATATTATATTTTAGACCATATACATATATATGGAACACATTTCTTAATAAGAACAGACCATAGACCTTTAATATACCTTTTCTCAATGACCAACCCCAGTTCTAAACTGACACGTATGAGGCTCGAACTAGAAGAATACGACTTTACAGTCGAATATTTAAAGGGAAAAGATAATCATGTAGCTGATGCGTTAGTGACCTTGCAAAGTAGTGACCTTGCAGATAAAAAATATGTTATGTTTATTTAAACAAGGCAGAAAAATTACTGCAAGATACGATGTTAGCGATTTATATACTAATGGAGTTATTGATTTAGATCAATTTTTCCAAAGGCTTGAAATGCAAGCCGGTATACATAAAATCAGCCAACTCAAAGTGGCACCGTGGGAAAATATCTTTGAATATACTTCAATAGATAAATTTAAATTAATGGGCAATAAAATATTGAAAACATTAAGAGTAGCGCTACTCAACCCGGTGACCCAAATAACAAATTTAAAAGAAAAAGAAGCAATTTTGTCTACATTTCATGATGATTCAATTCAAGGAGGTCATACTGACATATCAAAAACTTTGGCCAAAGTAAAAAGACACTATTACTGGAAAAGCATGTCTACAGATATAACTGAGTACGTAAGAAAATGTCAAAAATGCCAGAAATCAAAAATAACTAAACACACAAAGACCCCTTCAACAATTACAGACACACCAATAAATGCATTCGACAGAGTGATAGTGGACACTATTGGTCCACTGCCAAACCAGAAAATGGCAATGAGTATGCAGTCACTTTAATATGTGATTTAACTAAGTATTTAGTTGCCATACCTGTTCCGAATAAAAACGCCAATACTGTCGCTAAAGCAATCTTTTATCCTGAAATACGGTCCAATGAAGACGTTCATTACGGACATGGGAACAGAATATAAGAATTCAATTTAGACGATTTGTGCAAATATTTAAATATTGAAAATATTACATCCACAGCACACCACCACCAGACAGTTGGAACAATAGAAAGAAGTCATAGAACTTTCAATGAATACATACGATCTTACATATCGGCTGATAAAACTGATTGGGACGTATGGCTTCAATATTTTGTCTTCTGATTCAACACGACCCCCTCTATGGCACATACATATTGTCCATACGAGCTAGTATTCGGTAAAACAAGTAATTTGCCAAAACATTTTAATAGCATAGATAGTGTAGAAGCACTATATAATATAGATGACTATGCTAAGGAGAGTAAGTATAGATTAGAAGTAGCCTATAAAAGAGCTAGAGTTATGTTAGAAGCAAATAAGAATAGAAATAAACTACTATACGATCATAAAGTAAGGGATATAGATATATCAGTAGGTGACAAAGTTTTATTAAAAAACGAGACAGGTCATAAGTTAGATCCTAAATATACAGATCCGTATATAGTAACGGAAATAGGAGATAGAGATAAAATAGTAATAAAAAATGATAAACATAAAAAACATACAGTTCATAAGGATAGATTAAAAATCTTTATTTCATAAATTGCACTTTGTATGGCCATACAAAGACACACATACATAGATAAATAAATACACATATTCTTTTAATAATTTCATTTTCTATGATTCTCACAACATAAAACAAAAAAAAGTAAAAAACAAGAAAGGAAAGCTAACTTCGGGCGGAGCCGAAGTTTATATACCCTTGCAGTTAAAACCGGATATATATCGCAAACATCGGATATAGTTGGCCGATCCTTATGGTAATAGGAATATATACTCCAATTTATTACAATACAAAATCTAAAAAAAGTCCCAAGCTTCTATCTTCAAAAATACGAAAGTTGATATTTCTACCAAATACCATTTCCGATCGTTCAGTTATATGGCAGCTATAGGATATAGTCGGCCGATCCTAATGAAATTTGGTAGGTTGGATCAACTGACCAAAAATAGAGTCTGTACTAAATTCCAGCTTTCTATCTTCAAAAACACGAAAGTTGGGTCATTTCCGATCGTTCAGTTATATGACAGCTATAGGATATAGTCGGCCGATCCTTATGAAATTTGGCATGTCGTATTATTTTGCCAAAAATAGCTCTCACCTAAAATTTGAACTTTCTAACTCTAAAAATACCAAAGTTATACCATTTCCGATCAATCAGTTATATGGCAGCTATAGGATATAGTCGGCCGATCCGGGCCGTTCCGACTTATATACTGCGTGCAAAGGAAAGAAGGGTGTGTGCAAAGTTTCAAGACGATAGCTTTAAAACTGAGAGACTAGTTTGCGTAGAAACAGACAGACGGACAGACAGACAGACGGACAGACGGACAGACGGACATGCTCATATCAACTCAGGAGGTGATCCTGATCAAGAATATATATACTTTATAGGGTCGGAGATGTCTCCTTCACTGCGTTGCACACTTTTGGACAAAATTATAATACCCTCTGCAAGGGTATAACAAGAAAGGAAAGCTAACTTCGGGCGGAGCCGAAGTTTATATACCCTTGCAGTTAAAACCGGATATATATCGCAAACATCGGATATAGTTGGCCGATCCTTATCTGAATAGGAATATATAATCCAATTTATTACAATACAAAATCTAAAAAAAGTCCCAAACTTCTATCTTCGAAAATACGAAAGTTGATATTTCTACCAAATACCATTTCCGATCGTTCAGTTATATGGCAGCTATGAGATATAGTCGGCCGATCCTAATGAAATGCGGTAGGTTGGATTAACTGACAAAAAATAGAAAGCTGTATTAAATTCCAGCTTTCTATCTTCAAAAACACGAAAGTTGGGTCATTTCCGATCGTTCAGTTATATGGCAGCTATAGGATATAGTCGGCCGATCCTTATGAAATTTGGCATGACGTAATGTTTTGCCAAAAATAGCTCTCATGTCAAATTTGAACTCTCTAACTCTAAAAACACAAAAGTTATACCATTTCCGATCAATCAGTTATATGGCAGCTATAGGATATAGTCGGCCGATCCGGGCCGTTCCGACTTATATACTGCGTGCAAAGGAAAGAAGGGTGTGTGCAAAGTTTCAAGACGATAGCTTTAAAACTGAGAGACTAGTTCGCGTAGAAACAGACAGACGGACAGACAGACGGACAGACAGACGGACAGACGGACATGCTCATATCAACTCAGGAGGTGATCCTGATCAAGAATATATATACTTTATAGGGTCGGAGATGTCTCCTTCACTGCGTTGCACACTTTTGACCAAAATTATAATACCCTCTGCAAGGGTATAAAAAAATGTATTAATTAGAAATTTTTATTATAAAAATAACTTCATTATATTACGTTATTTTTCAAAAGGAGGGAGATGTAGTATGCACATATATTGAATACCCACTGTACCGAGAGTACTTAAAGGGTGCGCACTGTAACACTTTGTTGCAGTGTTTACATTATCCAAAGTCCCGGTCATAAACCCTAAGTGGCCGAAATATGAACCGATCGTTATGGCTTAGCCCACACACAGAAAGTGTCAGCATAATCGTAACAAACGGTCAGCATATGCATACCCCTCGCGCCTCCACTTGAGAGCGCATAACAACGTATATTATTATATTCCTTTATACATAAGTACATAGCCGTCTCTCTGCCGCCGCCTGCGAGCAGCGCTGCTACGAGACTTAGCCTTACTTAAACTTAAGAAATATTGTAAAAGAACAGAGACACTTTGATCGTTGGAGCGGCACCTCAGCTGCTCCTTCTAAATAAAAATCCAACTAAAACTAATCCCCTAAAGTTATCCTATGACACAGCATCTTATACTTACACGCTTCAAATGTAATGTTCCTCGAAGATTTACCCCTTGTAGTTTGGCATATGCCTAGCACGATCCCTTTAGGGTTCTATATCTTCGCTTTGCTTTAATTCTATCTTTAAAATTTAATCGTAATCTTCAATACATCTCTTTACTCTCGGATCTTTTCCCGCAATTCGAGCCGTTCGTTACGCGGCTTCGTTACTCCTTTCGGTCGGTTGGGCGACAGGTAGGCTATACATATGGAGCGGGAAGCCGCTGAATGAATGATTTATTCGACACATTGGATGCAGATGGGTTGATTAGAACCATAAAACAAAAACATGTTTTGAGCATTAAATTTACAGTTTTAATTTGTTCTCTACAAACCACAAAGTTAATGTAAGTGTATCGATTTGAGTTTTACTCAAATAATAAAGACTAAATAATATATTTTTGATTATAAATCAATGTCTAATGTATCAGGTGTTAGAAGCATGGGTTCACAGTGCCCGTCTTCTACTAAGGAAGAAAGTGATTCGGTTATCATGATGCCGTCCATATTAGCTGAATTTTGGTGACCATCATCTACTGCATCATGAGAAGCCGACAGTAATGACTCATGATGGGAACCACAATGGCCGAGAGCACTAAAATCTGAACTTTGAATTGCATCAGATAATCTAAACATGTCCCGTGTATCGGATCGTTGACAATGACTGAAATTGACCTCGTTTGGATTCAGCTGTTGGTGTGAACAAAATGACTTTGTACAATTAATATTGCAGTAGTTATCAGCAACAATATCAGTCTTTCCGTTAAAGACGTACGTATTTGGGTCTGAAACACCCATTTTTTCAAAATTTGCACTATGCAACTTTTTTGTGCTTGGGGATTGCGAAGCCGAAAGCATATGACTATGTGAACACAACATCGGGTCTCCACCTTGTACTGGATGCTTACAGTCTTCCATTAGTTCGTCAATCTGAATAATTCCACCGTTAGAATCGCTCTTCTTAGGATCTTTTAGCTGAAAAGAAACAAAAAAAAATTGGTAAAAAGTAAGAAATTCTACCTAACGACATACTTTTTTCTCGCCAATCAAGTCATCCAAGAGTGATCGACGACTTTGAGAAACGGTTCGTGATGAACTAGTGTCCTTTACATATGCGTTAGCTTGTGTAGGTGCAGATACCGAAGTTAAATGGTAGTCCGTTAAAATAATACCATGAGTTTTAGCCTGTGTTTCCAGCTCCTTAACGTGAATGTTTAAATAATAATAAAGGATAAAATGAAAAAAAAGAAAGGAAAGCTAACTTCGGGCCGAGCCGAAGTTGATATACCCTTGCAGTTAAAACCGGATATATATCGCAAACATCGGATATAGTTGGCCGATCCTTATGATTACATCATAATAAAACCAATTAATTAAAATAAAAAATCTAAAAAAAAGTCCCAAGCTTCTATCTTCAAAAATACGAAAGTTGATATTTCTACCAAATACCATTCCCGATCGTTCAGTTATATGGCAGCTATAGGATATAGTCGTCCGATCCTAAATGAAACTTGGCCGATCCTAATGAAATCAACTGACCAAAAATAAAATTTGTACTAAGTTTCAGCTTTCTATCTTAAAAAACACCAAAGTTGTACTATTACCGATCAGTCAGTTATATGGCAGCTATAAGATATAGTCGGCCGATCCGAACCGTTCTGACTTATATACTGCGTGCAATGGAAAGAAGGGTGTGTTCACAGTTTCAAGACGATAGACTAGTTCGCGTAGAAACGGACAGACAGACGGACAGACGGACATGCTCATATCAACTCAGGAGGTGATCCTGATCAAGAATATATATACTTTATAGGGTCGGAGATGTCTCCTTCACTGCGTTGCACACTTTTGGACAAAATTATAATACCCTCTGCATGGGTACAATAATGATAAAATTCATGGACGTCTTTATTTACCCTTATTCGTAGCATAAGTTTTCTATTCTGAATTTCCATTTGACGCTGACGGATTTCATTTTGCTTTAAGCGTGAAACCTCATGTTTTAAACATTTTATATAATCAACTGATGATTTTAATATAGTCCCTTTGTTTGGACGAATATCACGTACAACCTCGTAAAACGCTTCGCTCCCTTTTGGAAGTAAAGTTCCCAGCTCTTTTATTCGGTCGTTGATATTAAAACGGCGCCTACGCTCAACTGTAAATCAACAAATGTTAGGTAATCTTCAAGTGTAAATAGTGAAATATTTTTATCATACTCATATTGTGGTTATCCTTTTTTTGACGATCTTTTGCTATCGCATTTATTTCTGCATCAGTTAAACTTTGTGGTTCTTGCTTTATTGATAATTCAGAATTAAAGCCTTTATCGAAATTAAACGAATCACTTTGCAGTATGTCATCAAACAGATCATCTGGCTAAAAAAAATAAAATTTTTCTACTTAGTGTCTTTTCCAACCCCAAAAACTCAATAATAACTGTGATACTTACATCACTTTCGAACGATGGAAGCTGAAAACAAAAATGTATTAATACAACATAGCGAGAACCAAAGGTTTTGCCGAAATTAATGTGTAATAACCTTTAAAGATTTTGAAAAGCTTCACATTCTAAAGTCATTACACAAATTAAACATGAAATTCTACGTATGTATACCCCGTTACTTAAATACTTAAATACTTAAATAGGTACTTAAATACAAAATATTTACAGAAAAATTTGTTCATGGCATTACAAAGGAACTTAGGTTTGAGCCTTCAGCCCTTAAAAGCAAATCAAAAATCAATTGTATAACAAACGTCTACTTTTATTTTTCCGTTTGATTTTTCGTTATAAATGATTACATACAGGAGTGCCACATAAAACACTATTTATTTGGTAAAATGACAAGCTTCAAGCCAGTGGTGCCCACACAAATACACTCACATGTACACTCATTGACTGTCGTTTTTTACAGCGGTGAAGTGTTGGTGTGCAGGCAGAGCAGGGCAGAGAAATTTTCAACTTCGGTTGAGAGTGTTTTGGGCACCTCGGTTCCAAACCAATGTATATTTTATTTTTAAAGGAAGTTTTGTCACAAATTTAACTCAAATAAGAAGTTTATAGATCATTCAAACTTTTCATTGGACCCAAAAGCACCCATTAAAGAGAAATTTGAGTGGAATGTGTGGCACCCCGAATAAATTTGTGTTTTCAAGTTTTAGGCGTTTTAAATAAAGAAGCTTTTGTTCAATTTATCAATTTAAAATTAGAATTTGACAATTATCAAATTGGAAACTGTTTGAACGGAACGGAATTTTTTGAACGGAAAAGTGGTGTTATTTGGAGTAATGTAAATTCTAGGAATGAATGAAGAAATCTTCACCTTCAAATGGTCTCGTTAATATTAATGCATCCACCAGTTATTGTATCTACTCACTCACTCACTCTATTTCAAAATGTCTACTTCCGGAAAATCTGACCGACAATAATTTAAATACCAAAATCATCTGTGACGTCACTCCGTTGTTTATTTTTTGAAGTCAAGTTTTATCGCGATTTTAATACTTTGTTTAACTACGAAAACGAGAGGACGTGTTTGACGCAAGCTCCGGGAAAACTTAAAGAAAGTGTAAAAGAATCACAGTTAATTAAACCAAAAATGTGGAATAAAAAAAATATGCAAAAAACGCTGAACCACAAATAAGTAAAAGAAATAATCTAACTTGGCTTATTAAAAATTGGATCATAATTGTTTTAACTAAATAAGTGTCATCAATGCTTAATGAGCAAAAACAAAACATAAACAAGAAAGGACGGCTGTAGTCGAGTTTCCCGACTATATTATACCCGGTACTCATCTATACAACCCACAAATTAACTAACGTTTAATCTAACTAACTAACTTAACTAACTAACTAATCTAACTAACGAAGAGAGAGATGGGACGATGAAATAAATTGCGAAGAGAAGAGTATTTACAAGCAAAAAGGTAAGGTATGGATCCTAAGCAACAAATTTTTCGCTTGGGAAAAACAACAACTTCAGCCCCTTTACGGCCACATTGACAGTTCAGTAGAGGAGCAGACTAAAAATTCTTTAACTCTTTTAAAAATTATGTGATTTAACGGATTTTTTATTTGTAGGTGTAGATTAGTTATTGGAACAGTTTGGCATCAAAATATTTTCCAAAAACATTAAGGAACTGGCACTACAAAGTGATGTCAGGAGAAAGTACGAGTGGCAAAATTTTGACACAAACTTGATCAGCGCTAATTTCATATGAGTCCAAGTTTCAAATCGAATAGTCTTCGAGATTGACGAGTTCAAAATTTCAAAAAGTTTTTTAAAAAACCTTCCCGTACTGACGTTAATTAAATTTGCGATTGTTGGGGGCGAGAGGTGGCGTGGCAAAAATGTTGAAACAAATTTGAACTGCGTGAACATTATAGGAATCTCCATGCCAAATCGTATAGCTCTATCTCTTATTACAAGTTACAAGTTTTTTCTTCGTTTTTTGTCTTTAATGAAGTTTTGGCACACTTTAAAAGGGTATACCATTTTTTGTTGGATTGTGAAGGAAGCAAATACTACACTACAATCATGGACCAGCCACTGGTAAAAGGAAGAGGGAGTAGAGCGAAAAGTGCTTTTAAAAAGAGTTTTAAGCATTGTAAAAACCGTTTGGATAATTGTATTGTATGACAGGAGAGAGACAGACAGGAGACAGGAATATGGGATTTTTGAAGACAATAAAATTGATAAGTAAATAAATATTTAGTAAAAATTAAAATTTTAAATCTTTTAAGCTTAAATGCTTGAGTAAATCCTGTTATAAAATTAGTAGAAAATTGTATTTTTGTCAGCAATGATAATTGGTTGCTTTTCCCATTACTGAGCACTTGTTACTCGTAGACAACAAGCGTTTTTTATTTTAACTTGTAGGTATTACAACGACCGCATAAAGTACATTCTTGATCAACATCAACATCCGAGTCGATATAGTCAAGTCTGTCTGGTCCTATGAACGTGTCTGTCTTTAAGATTTTAAAAGATAGAGCTGTAAAATGTTGCATGAAACTGCCTCGAAAATCGCATATTCCAAATCCGACTCTGCAGGAAAGAATTATAAAATTACCTGTTCCCCAGCATTGCATTCGCAGCCGCCTACAAGAAAGACAAAAAATTGGATGCTATCAGTGTGATGGTGATGGCTCACAATACATTACAATTTGAGTCAATTGAATATTAAAATACTAAAATAATTGTAATAACATATATAAGGCAATGGCTGAATTTTTTTCGAAGCGCCTTTTGTTGAATTATAAAAAAGATTTATGTGTTTAAAAAAGTTGTGCCTCAGAGCAATGAAAATGAATGTAGATGACGTTCAGAAGCACGACTTCTTTGCTCTTGATTCATTGGCAAGTCATCAGTAAAAAAAATTGAGGATGGTGGAAATCAAAGGTAAAAGTCCTAGCCTCGAGGCAGGATGAGCGGTGAAGGGGAAAGCTGACGCGCCTTAGCGGACCTGAGAAAGCAGAGATGACGTGGAACGTAATGGTTCTTGGAAACTGCGGTAGGGCAGAAACGAACTGAAACCAACGGTCCCTCGAGGAGCAGCGTGGCTGGTCTAGCGGGCTCGGAGGTGCAAGGAGTGGAGCACGGCACAAAGCGTAGTGGTCCCTGGAAGACCGCCGGAGCCCCGCATAGGAACAGCAGAGTTCCGTGGCCGGGAGAGGCGAGGGGACACGGACGATGACCCGCCAACGGGAGTGTGGCGTGCTGCTGGAAAGCTGGATAAAGGTAAGTAGCAGAATCAAGAAGGATTAACAAAGCGACACTGGTCGAGTCTTTTGGCCGCCTTTGGAGAGTTACAGTGTTAGAGAGATATGGCTATTAGTGTTGAGCTAAAGACCGCTCTTGAAGAGTCTGACAGCCCCGAGAAACTAAAATGCGAAGATAAAACCGATACGAGTGAAGAAGGACCTGTGCCAGGACGGTTCCACTCAAGCCCAGGGTACAAGAGTCGAGTTGGGCCTTTTCCCAACTACGTCAGATAGTCTTTCTATCTGAAACAAGGAGTGGGCGGATCGAGAACTCAATAATCCGATCGGGGCACCGCGGACACCAGTCAAGAGACTCCTGATCCAGGAGTGACGCCCTGGTGTTAAGGAGGCGCGACGACTAGTAATTGGCCCGTCACGGACAGGTCAGTATCTGGCGACGGAGCAGCAGCAGAGAACAAGCAGCTCTGTGACTAGCCGCGGCATATGTTGAGAACCAAAAAGGCATGTCCCTAACAGAGTTATTATGAATATACATTATTGGGTAATGGGTAAATTTTAATTGGGTAAATTTTGTTATACCAATTTGTTACCAATTTGTTATACTCTTTATATAAATTCTAATAAAAAAAAGTACTTTTTTTCAAAATAATATATATGTATGTAAATAATTAATAAAATATTTGCAAAATAATTGATTAACGAAATAACACAAACATTTTTTTTGCTCAGTAAATGCCCTGCACTCCTTTTTTTGCTGCTTACGAACACACTAAAGATTGCTCTAGATTGCTTAGCTGCTCTAGATTGACTTGATATCAACACATAATTTTTGTAACTTAATAACAACCAGCTCTTACAAGCTACCGCTTACCCCTTCCACTCGATTACAAAGTTATATTCTTTGCACGCAGTAAATAAGTAGGAGCGGTTGAAGGTCATGCGAAATAACTTAAAGATTGATAATGACATAATTTTTATGGTTGTGCATAAGAAAGCTTGGAACTGCTTAAAAATTTAAGCAATAAATTTAATTTATATAGTATTCCAAATCGGTCGGATAGTAAATTGGGTATAGTAGCTATAAAACCTTAAATGGGTTGGATTTATACGGTGGTAAGAATAAAACGTGTTGAAGTTGTGCCTCCCAAAAATAATTTCATAACTCCTTTTCAAGCCTAACCAGGTGGACATGCTTATTGCTTAATTTCTTGTTACTATAAAAAAAATATGACTTCAACACGATGGGACCGTTGCGTCAAAAATTTCTGCACTTATTCCTAGTTGAAAACTGGACATAATCTCGCTTGGCATTTTTGAAGCTATTTACTGCTTTGTGTTTAAAAACCTAAAATTTGTATACATACCTCTGAAGCACTCGTAGCTACGGAACTTAGACTTGGAGATAAGGGCGCAGAATTCGATTGCAATGAGCTTGCAGTACTCGAAATTCGTGACGAGTTATTTATTCCTGAAGAAACTCGATTGTTTATGGAAGAATTTAAGCAAGAATTTGTTTTGACAAGACTTAAGTGTGTTTTGGGATTAACTACTGGGGATTCATCCGGTCCTTGCGTAATATTTCCTAATGAAAGCGGTTCCGAAATATTACTACTATCATTTGTGGAAAAACATCCACCAAACGGTGATATTTTCATAGAATCATTCGAATTGACTATTCTATTCTCAGGCGTATCACATCGAAAACGGTTTGGTATCTCCACTGTTAAGCTTGAATTTTCCACAGATGAGGTCTGTAAATTACGAGAAGATGTCATGAAAACTGCAGCTTTTATCTGTTTATTTTAAATAAAATCACTTATTTTATATAAAAAAAGAAAACATATATATATAAAGAAAACATACTTCACTATTATGGCAGCTCCAAATAGATGGTCTAAAAGATTCACTCAGATATTGCCTTACTTGGTTTTTTTGCTTCTGAATAACATGATATCTGGTCGGGTTTTCAAGCACCGTACTAACCTAGAATTAGGTTTTTAACTTATTATGGAGTTCAAGTTCAAACCCTGCAGTTGTTATTACCTGCAGTACTTGGGGTGGTACATCTACACCAATGCTTTGAAGAGGAACTTTAAGTTTGACTGGACTTGACGGTTCCATTATTCGTTCCTTTTGAACTAAATTTGTAATATGATCGAAACTTGATCCACTATTACTACCAGTACTGATTAGCTCAGACTCGTTCCTTCTTAGTCCATTAGCAAATATAACGTTCATTTTTTGATTTGGCGAATCTAACACCTGTTGCTGCATTAAAACTTGTTGTTGCTGTTGGTGTTGTTCCCGTTGCAATTGTAACTTAAGTTGAGTTCGGGAAGTAGGTGTAGCATTTTTAAAACTTGGTCTGTTAATAAAAAAAATACAAATTATTAAAGGTTTGTAGCCAACATGTATCAAAACTGACTGGGCCAATCCAAAAAGTCAGTATACCTACCCACCCGAAAGTGGAGGTAAGCCCACTATGCGCGGCTCGGTAGTATCAGCGAGGGTTATATCGCCTAAATCTACAATGCTCGGGTCCATTTCCAGTATCATTTCCAAATCTTTATCTATACCAACTGTAACCCGAATATTTTTTTTAGCTTCATCATCACTTAAAAGATCTTTTGATGAAGGGTATAAATTGTATGTATCATAATTATGACTCTCATTTTTTAAAGATGGTTCCTCGCCGATTTCAATGGCAGCTAAAGAACTGCACTGCGACATCTTTAAAGTCTGAACCCTTCTTAGAATGTCTGTAAACTCCATGGAACTTGTATCCGATGATGGCTGGACTAATTTTGTAAAATCCGTTTCAATTCTTTCCAATGAAGAGAATGGTCCATAGCCCATTGAAATAAGTCGTACTCGGTTTTTATCTTCCATTTTTTTTTTTATATTTCCATTTTACCCCAGTATGAAAATATTTTATTGGAGAATGTTGTTATATATTAAGTAGTTTTCAGTCGTAAATATACAATACAAACAAAATCAGACATAGACGCATGTTTTGTAAGATCAAAAAATAAGGTTTCGAAAATTTTAATTGCTCCTGATTGAGTATGAAACAAAACAAAAAGAATGTTTGGCTTATATTTATGTATTTTGTTTGTAACTCCAATTTTGAGTTTTAAATTTAATTTAAAAAAATGCAAAACTTTTCTTTTTTTGTTAGGGATTATTTAAAATTATTTCATTCTGAGCGTAACAATTTTATTTACTTGTACACCACCTAACACATGTTTTCTTTGAAAATATAAATGTGTGTGTGCAAAAATGTATTAATGTGTAAATATGTAATAGTATTGTATTAAAATAGGGTGGCCATAATAATGAAGCGATTATCCGATTTATAGGTTTTCTACGGCGCCTACGGCGGAAGCTTCGATACCCTTGTGCAGTACCATAGTTTATTACCCATTATAAATCCTTTTAATTTTCAATTATTCTTTCAAATGATCTACATTAAGTCTAATTGTAAATTTATAAATTTTTTGTTTATTTAAGACTATTGTCTCGTTATGCGTATTTAGCGTAACTTTAAATATTCAAAATAACATAACAATAGTAACCCTAAAAACAAATATTCTACAAGAATTTGTATCTGTGTTTGTATGTATGTATGTATATTTATAATTTATATATTTATGCAAGGTAAATTATTTTTAACTATGGACAATTATGAGTTGTCCTAATATAATAAATATTATTTATTGATTAATACATTGTTTTCTATCCTTTTTTTTTAATAAGAAAATTGAGCAAAAATATATTTTTTTATTATCGATACCGAAAAATATTAAAACCACATAATAAAAACTAATAAAAAATACGCTTGAACGTACGATTGTTTTTTTATTTCTAAGTTTTGGTGTCATATTTGCCACCGGGCGGAACCGAAATTAATATACCCTTGGATATATAGCTAAAACCGGATATACATCGCAATCATCGGATGTAAGTAGTTGGCCGATCCTTATGAGAATATCATAATATCATAAACCAATTTATTACAATAAAAAATCTAAAAAAAAGCTTCTATCTTCAAAAATACCAAAGTTGATAATTTTACCAAATATGTACCGGTATATCCGAGGCAATTTCCCATCCTAAGCTATAGGCGGCCGATCGTTATGAAATTGGGTAGGTCGGATCAACTGACCAAAAATGGACAAAGTTCCAACTTGCTATCTTCAAAAACACGAAAGTTGGGTCATTTCCGATTGTTCAGTTATATGGCAGCTATAGGATATAGTCGGCCGATCCTTATGAAATTTGGTATATCGTATTATTTTACCAAAAATAGCATTCATGCAAAATTTGAACTTTCTTCATATGTCATATCAAACTTATGAGAATATCATAATAAAAATAATTAATTACAATAAAAAATCTGAAAAAAATCCCAAACTTCTATCTTCAAAAATACAAATGTGGGTATTTTCGCCAAACACCATTTTCGATCGTTCAGTTATATGGCAGCTATAAGATATAGTTGGCCGATCACTATGCAATTAGGTAGGCCGGATCAACTGACCAAAAATATAATCTATACAAAGTTCCAACTTTCTATTCTCAAAAACACGAAAGTTGCGTCATTTCCATAGATATATGGAAGCTATAGAGGCAGCTACGGTATACATAGTATATAGCCAATACTTATGAAATTTGGTGGGTCGTATTATTTTTTAAAAAGTAGCATTCGTACAAAACTCGAACTCTTTAACTCTAAAAACACAGGAGTTATAGCATTTCCGATCAATCAGTTATATGGCAACTATAGGATATAGTCGGTCGATCCGGGCCGTTCCGACCTATATACTGCGTGCAAAGGAAAGAAGGGTGTTTGCAAATTTTCAAGACGATAGCTTTAAAAGTGAGAGAGAGTTTACGTAGAAACAGAGAGACGGACGGACTCAGGAGGTATCCTCCTGAGGTATTGATATCAACTCAGGAGGTGATCCTGATCAAGAATATATAGACTTTACAGGGTCGGAGATGGTTTCTTCACTGCGTTGCACACTTTTGACCAAAATTATAATACCCTCTACATTAAAATTTTCTAGAAATAGCTAAAGAAATACAAAACTGTTAAAAAATTTATATTTCTTATGTTATGTATTCTTGTGTTGTGTTATTTTTAAATGGTTTTTATTAAAATAATACAGAAATATTATCAATATCGATGGTGTCCTCGACCGAATCTTAATGTTTATCTGATTCAGACATAATTTTTAAATATTTTGTTGGCAATGTGTATTTAAAACAACACGTCCCCCTTCTGTTGAGTCCATATCTGTAAATCAGTGGCCGGCACTTAATACAATGATATGGTTCTAAAGTATTACTATTAATGACGATTATTAATGAAATTTCCTATGCCCCTAGAATAGGGCCCTGCCGACCATTGCTGTAAATGAAAATTCATTTCATTAGTATCAATCTTAGAATTTTATTTGAATAGCATTTAGAGTTTCAAATGCATTCTATTTCTCATTTTACTTTTAACTAGCTGCGTTCGACCAAGGTAGACTCATTATATTGAGTGCAAAGGTGCTAAGGGGGCGAATGTGTTGACTCCTCTGGTATCTCTGGACTCAAAAACTTCAGCCAAAACTTTTGTGTTTTATTTTACATTATACAAAATAAGAAAACTTTCTCATAACAGAGTTTTTTTTTCACTTTTCTTGAGTGAACCTCAAAATAGAAGAACCATCTTAAAAGAGCTGTTTCGGTACTATTTAAAAAGTGCCAGCAGTAGCTAGATTTCTAGCTAATAGCATTTCACAAAGAGCTAAACCTAGAAATAAAATAGCTAAAATAGCAACAATGGTTATAAGGATCAATTTCGAAGAAAAAAAATATGTAAACATACATACATATGTATGAATGTACATATGTTTGTACATTTCAAAATGTTTTGTTTTCTTTAATACATTAACTATTGTATGTATATACATATGTATATAAACGACATGTACACGATGTATGAAGAAATTTTATAGTCAAATAATGTAAATCTCTACATATTTACATACATACATAAGTGTCTAAGTGATGAAGTGACCAACCAATTAGTTGCGTTTTAAAATATGTAACCTAATATATATTATAAATTTAAAAATTCATTAAATATCTCTGACGTTTTAGGAAAGTGTTTAAGGTCATGTATGTACATATATACAAACAGATTTATGTACAATACCGATAGAAATTGATTTGAAGATCGACATCATGTCGATCGTACGATCGTACGTATGTATGTACATAGATACATACGTATCTGAAAAGTAGATACATATCGACCTCTTTTTAGCGAAACGATCGTTATTATCCTCTAACCTAAACATATGTACATATACCATACGTATATACATTTATATGTACATATGTACGTATTTACGTATGCATACACTTTGGAAAGTCAGATTGTTTTGTGTTATCAATATTTTTTAACTAAAAATTTTAAGATGAATCATTTTTGTATTTTAAATAAAAGATATCTATGTTTTCTTTATAAATGAAAAACATGTATATTTAAATAATTTCGAGAAATAAATTTTCCACTTGAATGTACACAGCTAAAATCATAATAAATGCAGATGCATGCATATGCCGTACAAACATACATATGTATGTATGTACATGTGTATGTGCATATATGTACATATATTTAGCTATTGTTCATTTCACTCATACATTCATAAATATTGTCTGATAAGATACAAAATTTGCGTTAATCATATATCAAATAATATCGTGTTGATTGTGTATGTATTTATATACATATGTAACATGTAGTATGTACTATGTAGCCTGTGTTCATAATAAATATGTAAATTTTCTTTTAAAATTATTAATTTTGAGTTGTATTTAAATGTTCAATGTAAAAATATGTATGATATACATACATAGATATTTATGTTGGTTCATGTAAATATATGTTTGTATGTACTCACACTTCGTCTGATCGAATAGAACGAGATGACTTTAACTCGTAAAATTCGACATTTTCCGAACTTCCTGCCACAGTTATATTAGGTAGTAATTCCATACTTTCGTTATCATTTAGTAAACTTATGTTTAAATCAAACTCCATATCAAAGCCTAAATCTATTCCAGACTCTGTCATGTTTGCTTCGATTGCCACAATTAAGTTATAATAAGTTAAAATTCATAAAATATGTTTATTCTACACGCATCTGTGTCATCACAACCGACCTACAGATGGATCTAAAAACGAGTGCACAAAGTTTCATAACTCTGTTAGAGCTTTCAATTGCTGGCAGTGAAAAAATGTCGGTAGAGATCGTGACTACGTAACGTATTGATGTATGTAAGCGTGTACGTAAGAATAAACGTAAGTAAAAACTCAATTTTTTTTTAAATATTTTTTATTGAAACAAATAAACCATTAATAATAGGTATTTGTTAATAGTATTTATATTGCTTAAATTAAACTATATTACTGTTACATTTACTAACAAGAAAGGAAAGCTAACTTCGGGCGGAGCCGAAGTTGATATACCCTTGCACTTAAAACCGGATATATATCGCCAACATCGAATATAGTTGGCCGATCCTTATGAGAATATCATAATAAAACCAATTAATTATAATAAAATATCTAAAAAAAAGTAGCAAGCTTCTATCTTAAAAAATACCAAAGTATTTCTACAAAATACCATTTCCGATCGTTCAGTTATATGGCAGTGATAGGATATAGTCGGCCGATGCTTATGAAATTTGGTAGGTTAGATCAACTAACCAAAAATAGAATTTGTACTAAGTTCCAGTTGATCCAACCTACTAAATTTCATAAGGATCGGCCGAAAAATACAATTTGTACTAAGTATTTAACGCATTATGAATTACTTCGTAAAACGAATCCGTATTAACTTTAATTGTGTTTATAGATGAAAGAAAATTCCAATCGATTTCAGCCAAATGATTGCAAAGGAGAATAAAATCCGTTTTCCTAAACCATTTGAAACGCGGTGGAATATTAAAAGCCAGCATCATTATGACTGACACAGAAGATGTCACAATAGAATGTGTTATGAATGGGGTTAAGTTAGAGTAGTGCAAATCAGTTAAGCCATCGATAAAGTCGTTATAGCAACTAGAAAGCAGGCAATTATCATCCCCAGACGGGATTGAAGAAATGAGGGGAAGGTTGAAATCTTCCATGATTGGGATTAAATTAGAGTCATTGACCAACGAATAGACTTAACGAACTTAAGGTGGTGAAAATATACGATATCTGCATCCATAGGATGAATGTAGGAACAGGTCAGGAAAATATGAGAAGTTTTTAAAGTAAAAACAGTTAAAAGTTTTACCGCAATGAATTCTATTCAGAACTCATTCGAGAAACGATAAGTTCAGCAGGGTTCAGCATCATTAACAGCAATAAGGACACCGCCTGCATAAGATGGACGATCCAAAATTGGGAACAAAAACTGCATAATCAAAAACAGAGAAATTATGCCAAGTTTCAAAATTAAAAAAAGCACTCTTTGTAAAAAATGGCTCAATTTACCCAGAATACTTAAAACGTTTTTAAAGAGTCAAAGAGTCAAATATGGCCTTACGGGGAGCAACCGCCCTCAGCGTAAGCCCAGAAGATTTAACTTCAGGCGCCACAGCATTTAGAGGCCATGAAGACAGCACAGCATGTAAGTTGTCCAACGATGGAGGCTCCAAGATGATTGGAGGCTCCAGGTTTGAGATCGGTACACTAATCGTTTCTTGCAAGGGATCAATATTAGAGTGCCCTGCTGAAAGGCTCATCATGTAACTTAGTACTGAAACGACTTCAGTAAGTATACAAGTAGGCGATGGTAAAATATTTGACGTTGCAAATGCATCGACCGCATGGGAGGTAGGGGTACCCAATAGATAAGTAGTCAGCAGGTTATTGTTAGGCATTTTTCTTCTTGAAGATTCCTTTAAGGGCAAGGAATTGCTCGTTAAGGGTCAGGAATTGCTTGCGAATCAAGGAAAGCATTTCTAGTCTGCTTCATAAAATTCCGCATCTCTGACCCGATTTTTTTGCAAGCGATGCAAGACCACATCAGGGCAATCTTCTTATTGATAAGATTACTTATCCGAACACTGTGTCATCTCCAGTACATTTAATATATGAGCAGTTGTTGCAAAGCAAGCAAGACAGGTATGAGACACCCGATATGGATTCATCGAATTCAAATTTTTTGCTGTGCAAATTCGACTCCTTGTTGACGGATTGCTGACCACTGTAGTAGAGTATAAAGTTAGGCACTCTCTTGTAGCCAAGAGTAGCCGTTTAGATGAGATGTGAGAGATGACGTTACAAAAGAGATGTGCAACAAAGGCTAGGCGTCGTGAAAAAAAAAAACCCCCCCGGTAACTACGATGTAACGGTTTACGTCAAGAGAGAACAGCTCAGAGAGAGTTTTTGTTATAGAATATTGTTAAAGAGCAAAAGAAATAACTATAAACGATTAATTGTATATATAAGAAAAAAATAGTTCAATTAACTTAATAGTCAAATATATTTTGAGAATTAATCATTATATTTCCATTTGTCGCGAAAAGAGAACATTTTAATTCTAAGATCGCCAGATTCTAAGGCAATCTGGCTGAAGCGATCAAAGAAATACGTCCGGATAAGACAAAGTTAGGCACAGACGAACATCCTCAACCAATTTGGACGATCAACTTGATTATCTTCTCCGCCAATCCTGGAAGCTGGAAACCTGAACTGATCCGATCGTTCAGGCTACTGAGAAGCCCACTTCGCCATGCACTACGTCCGTCTTGAATAAGGTGGATATTCGGTTCGCCTTCCAATCAAGTAGGCCTTGCGTCGGTTCCGTTCGCTTGAGCGCAAACTGGATCGTAATCCAAATTTAAGGACCCGATATGCTTCGTTCATCAAGGAACACTTAGCCCTGGGTCATGTGTCTCTGGTGCCGCAGGAAGTGCGTGGTAAGTGCCAGTATTTTCTTCCCCTGCGTTTTTCAGTATTTTTTTCTGCGTCCTGAAGGAAGACAGTTTCACTACTAAGCTAAGGGTTGTGTTTTGTTAGTTGTGTTAGCATATATTTTATATAAATAGGATAAATCTTATACTTTTAAAACTCTTCTACCCATCCAATCCCCTTAAAACAAGAAAGGAAAGCTAACTTCGGGCGGAGCCAAAGTTAATATAGCCTTGCAGTTTAAACCGGATATATATCGCAAACATCGGTTATGAACTGAAAGCATCGTTTTATTGTTTGTTAAAAAAATAAAAAGAAAAATTTAAATTTTTTTTCCAACCACCAAAAAAATATAAAACCACTCTTATTTACTTAATCTTGCGGCCATTCTCGGGCAAAACCAACTTAATGGGCTGGCAAAACCCTCCCAGTTCCATCAAAATCAAGCCGCCTTCGAAAAAGAAAGCCTATTCTAATTTTCAAGATGTCGATTCCAGCGACTCCGAGCATGGAGAAATGAAGCGGAAGTCTGCTAAAAAACCCATTATGGAAGACGAACCTACCACCAGCGAAGCAGCCAGAGCTGCACTTAAAGCTAATATTGAAAAAATTATTATGCAATTCTTTCTGATTTAGACGATGAAGATCGTGTCAGCGACATGGAGGTTGACGTTATGAAGAAAAAGATGATAAGAAAACCAAGCAATCTGCGGTAAAAACGGCGAAAATCATCAAACCGCCCCCAATTTTTATCCCGGACGTATCCAGCATCAAGGGCCTTTCCAAAGACATTTCCCACCTCTTAGGCGGGGATGTTGAAGTGACCTACAAAGCAAGCACTAACAACACAATTCGCGTCATGACTCCAGATAAGGATACTTACTCAACTCTGAAAAAGTTCCTGAGCGAAAATAACCATCGATACCACACATTCCAGCCCCGAGACGAGCGCGCTTATCGGATCGTCGTTAAAGGCCTCCACTTCTCCACCGACCCGGAGGATATTAAGGTGGGTTTCAGCAGCCATGGACACAAAGTCAGGGATATACACAATCCTATGCAAAAAGGTACAAAGAAGCCACTAAACATTTTCTTTATTAACCTCGAGCCAGCCAAAAACAATAAGGAGGCCTTTCAAGTCAAGCGGCTATGCAGCACGGTGGTTACGGTTGAGCCACCAAAAAAATTCGACGATGTGCCCCAATGCCATCGCTGCCAGGGCTTCGGTCACACGAAACGGTACTGCCATCTGGAGTACAGATGCGTAAAGTGTGGAGATAGGCACCCATCGTCCGAATGCACCAAAATTGCCAGTGAACCAGCAGTCTGCCTCCACTGCGACGGATCACATGCGGCCTCTTACAAGGGCTGTCCAGCCTACAAAAAGGCAAAGAGCACGTTCGCCCCCAAGCAGGCTGCACCAAGACGCCAGCAACCTCAATTCAGCAAAATTAACCCTAACATCAGCTATGCTAGCGCAGTCAAAAACGGAGCACCACAGTTTGACTCCAACCCCAATCCCGATCCCAGTCTTTCAAGTAATCCAATGGACGCCCTAACGGCTAGGATGGAATCTATGTTTGAGCGCATGATGGAGAAGGTCTTGAGCCAAATAGCCCAAATGATGGCCACCGTTTGCAAATCCTTATGCATACGCAATTAAATATAACCATATGGAATGCTAACGGCCTGGTAAAAAGAAGGCCAGAGGTCGAGCTATATTGCAAGACCCTCCAAGCAGACGTTCTCCTCATATCAGAAACGCATTTTACCAACAGATCATACTTGACTATTAGAGGATACGACCTCATTGCCGCTAACCACCCGAACGGTAGAGGTCGCGGGGGCGCGGCCATCCTTATTCGCAGCTGCATCAAGTATGAGGCACTTCCAGCCATGTGCGAAGACTGGGTTCAATGTGCCCAAATTAAAATCTCCACTACCAACGGTGACATAACAATCGCCGCAGCATATTGCCCCCCCAGGCACAACATCCACGAACAGGAATTCGGCTTGCTACTGGATTGCCTCGGCCCCAAGTTCATAATCGGAGGGGACTTTAATGCTAAACACCCCTGGTGGGGCTCCAGGATTACGAACCCAAAGGGCTCGGCCCTATACAGGCAGATTCAGTCCCGAATCTTGAGCTGTCACGCAACCGGTGCACCCACATACTGGCCTACGGATCCCCACAAAATCCCTGATGTGCTAGACTTCGCCATCTCCGGAGGACTGGATTCTGCCGGAATTCAAGCGAGAGAAGTAGAAGACCTCTTCTCGGACCACAGCGCCTTTGCCGTGTCACTTTTCACCCCA